CAAAAAATATTCAATCACTTATACGTTACAATCTCGTAATTTATTTTTTTAAATATTTTTATTTTAAAATTTTAATTTGTTAACTTCTTAAATCTTTAATTATATTTCAAAAAATACTTAATACGAAAATAAGTGTTCAAACTATACCGCTTTTCAAGAATAGGTGCCTAGACTATTTTTCGATACATCCAGGTGTTTAACTTTATAAATGCTACTATTTTAGACCCCTCGACTATAACGGCCGTTATAAAACGACACATGTCACAATTTTAAAATTTTATTTTTCTTTAAAAATAAAAATATTGTTAAAAAATTTAAAAAGAACAACCCGCGTGCAATCCCCTTGATGGTTGGAGTAAATGAGACTAAAATAACAAATTTTAAGAGTTTGGGTTTTTTTGGTATTTTAGGAGAAAAAAATTGAGGCTTTTCAGAAATAAAATATTTTTATTTTTTTAAAATTAAATTTTAAAATTATTAGATTGTGACATTTGTCACTTAACGGACTTTTTTAATGGCCGTTATAACAGATACACCTAAAGTGGTAACGTTTGTAATGTTAGACACTTAGATGAGTCGAAAAATAAATTAATCACCTATTCGTGAAAAGCGGTATAGTTTGGGAACTTATTTTATTATTAAGCCTTCAAAAAATGGTAGTAAATATATTTGTAAAAAAAACTTAATTTAATAAACAATTTTTTATATATCAATTGTTTTTTATATATAATTTTTTTAAAAACTTAATATCAATTTTTTTGGTATAAAACCTTCAAAAATTGCTGTCCCTTTTTTCCCATATGTATGGGGTAAGGGGATGTAAGATAGTAGACTGTCCCCAACACCAGGTTGAGAGCAGCTTCTGTAGGAGACCTCCGAATTATGAAATGCCCTCCGTGAGACTCGATTCTACGACCTCAAGATTAAGAACCTTGTGCTCTAAAACCTTCAAAAAAATGATAGTAAATAAATTAAATAGATATTTTTTTATTTTTTACTAAGGGTTTTTCAAACCCTTAAATCTAATTCTTTAAAAAACGATTGGATTGTTTGAAGTGTCCAAAGTTCTAGCAAAAGGAAAAGGGTTAACCTTGCAAATAAGCAAAGCACAATGCTTTAACCAAAAGAGAGGAGTGAATTTTTAAGATGTTTTAACCAAAGTTTATCTTTCAGTTCAAGTTACTATTGTTTGTACCTTACTTGTATTAATGTTAAAATGCTTTATTCTTTCTTTCTTTTCTTTAATTGCTTTTTTGCAAGAAATTCTTAGTTATTGTTAGAACAACTAGTCATCATTCACTGCCTTCTCATTCATTACTCACAAAACACAAATGGAGAAGGAGAAGGAGAAGAAGAGAGAGATTCAACATCCTTTTCATGAGTATCCCTTGGTGTTTGTGGCAGAGCAAAGCAACATTTTTATGTCAGAAAGGTATTTGTGAGAGATTTTTTGTTTGCTCATAGCTTAATGTCTTACCACATAGTTAATGCCGTTTTCAAGTCCATTGAGCACATAAAGAAGATGCTTATTTCTTAACTGTTAATGTGACCATCTGTTTTTCTAACTGGTTAATCCGATAACTTCTTCGTAGGGCTTTCGAAGATCTATGGCCAAGAACCCAGCAGAGCCACGAGCCCTTTATCTTCATTCGGTATGAAAGACAACCTTTCTGTCTTATCATTTTGTATTTACTTCTGAATGACATACCCTTTTATGGGGAATTTTTTCTGTTTGTTAATCCTTTCGGTTTGAGCAGGTCTTGACGCATCGTTCAGGTCTAGTTTTAATGCTTTCGCTCATACACAGTGTGATGCCATAACTGTCATAAGTTTTACCATTTTGCTTCATGTTCCATGCAATATCATTGTCCAATACTTGTTTCCAACACATATATCCCTGTATGAGCTACCCTCTTTTAACCCAAACATTACCATTAGACTATTCGATTTCTCGAAGTCTTCGTGTCCTATACCTTTGTTCGACATATCTAGACATGATCTTAAGCCATATCACGTCTCAATTATTTCAGAATCGGATCAACTGTCTTCTCTGTTTACGAGATTCGAAACCGAGACCTTGCTTAATTAGCACAAAGTTTCTTACTAAACTATGCTTAATGGATGGTATGGCTTGTAAAATGAATCATAACATTAGTGGCGTTATTAAGGGATTATTCTTATAATTATTCCCTTTTATTTTGTGAAATTAAAGTAAAACAAAAAACAAATAATAATAATATTATTATTTCATGAATTTGATTTATATTTGAATTAAGAATTATTAATAAAAATATATTTTATACAATACTTAAATTATCACTTTTGTTCTATTTTAGTACTTAAACTTTCAATTTTTTTAAAATCATACCTAACGTTTATTTTTGGTTTTATTTTATTACCTCACCGTTAAAAAATTAGGTACTAAAATGAAACAAAAAAGGTAACAGTGGGGTATTAAAATGAAACAAAAAGTTAACAATGGGTACTAAAATAAAATAAAAAGTAAACATTAGGTATGGTTTTCAAAAAATTGAAAGTTTAGGTACTAAAACAGAATAAAAGTGATAGTTTAGGTACTAAACATGTAGTTTACCCTAAAAAATGATAGCCTGCCCCCATATAAAACTGGGTTGGGAAAAGTCAACTAAAAGGGTAATATTGCCATTTTCTTCCATCTCCCATGCAAGCAACAAACGGTAAACGTGTTGTCTATCTGTACGCCCATATTTAAATGACATCACCAAACAGAGCAAAAACCGGTGAAAAACAAAGAAGAAGCATGAATCTTCCCATTGTCATTTCAGCTTCGATTGCCATTCTCCTTTCCATCGTCTTCTTCCCTCTGCCAAGCTCCAATTGTAACTAAAAATCCAACTTTTTCCCTTCTTTTTTCTCATTCTTCTCATTTTCCACTTCCTTTTTTACCATTCATCAACTGGTTACTCCTTAAAATCCTGATGCATAACCTTCTTTTTTTCTTTTTTTCCCGCAGATTGGCTGCAATGGAGAGCTTCTCTTATTCCATCGACTAAACTAGGTGCTGATTTGATAGTTAAAAATGGGGTCATTTTCACCAGCGACCCTTCTTTTCCTTTTGCCGATTCCATGGCCATTCGTGACGGTAGAATCCTTCGTATTGGAAGCTATTCCTCTCTTCAGGTTGTTTATCTTTCTTTTTCCTTTTTCCCATTTAAACCCCATTTATGTATTTGTGTTTTGGATGTGGTTTTTTCTTTGGCTACTGCGGTTATGCTTTCTTCTTTAACAAAATGAGAATTCAATGTGTTATTCTTTGCCGTTATGGCGACTTTAATTCTATTAATGGAGTTTTATTTTGTTTTATTTTATTTCAGGTATTAAGCTTTGAATGCAGTATTTGTCAGGATATGGCACTAAAGAGCTGAATCTTGAAGGAAAGATCGTGGTGCTCGGATTTATTGATTCTCACGTGCACTTGATCTCTGCAGGACTTCAGATTTTGAAATTTCACCTACTGATATTCTTTTCTTTGTGCCATTTCTTTTTCAAATGGCTTCACCTTCACTGAGCTGATATTGTGCACAGTAGAGACTAGAGATCATTCTTGACTGTTTTTAAATCCCGGTTGTAAATGAAGCACGGACACTTGGAATGGGGGGTTGTCTAAGTGTTGGACATGTGCTCAACACAGGCACTTCTCCGGCACGGCATTTGCGAGGGCTGTTGAAAACTAAATGATTGTGGGTGAATTCCTTATCCTTATAGCCAGCATGCAAGCTCGTAGTCGTGCATCACTATTTTGTAGCCAGTTGCTACAAGATAGAACAGATATCCTGGACAGAAACTTTGCTCGATCTTCATACATGGTAGGGTATGGCAACATGGGATGATAATCAGTCAGTTGAGAACCCTTTAGTTTTATCATAGGTGTCGTTATTACTTATTAGCATGCTGGTATTAAAACTATGGCAGACTAAGAGTTCAGTATTCTTACATGGCATGCCCCTCTAAGTTTCTTCTTTCTCAGACATTAACCATATATAAAAGAAAAGGGATCTCATACGATATCCCTTTCGTTGTCAAACATATCAATCATCTAGATGTTTTCCCAAAACATGCCTATATTTTTTTACTTTTGAGAGGTAGTTTTTTGCTTTTAACGTCCTAGTGAGAGTTTCTGCTTTAGTTTCCTGTTGCAGTTGATATATACTTGAGCAAAATTGAGATCTTCTTGTGTAGGACAGATGGCAGGTGTACAGCTCGAAGGTGTAAATCAGAAAAACGAAGTCGTGAGAAGAGTGAAAGAAGCAGCACGAAGTATCTTCTTTCTCTTCAATTTATGTTTTTTTTTTATGTTTCAATTGTTTCTGGTTAACCGCAAATATTTGTTTTTTGTTCCATTTAATCTGCATTAATGCCAAAAGTAAGCACTTAACCAAATTTCTGAATAGTTTTATGTTTATGCTTTACTTAGTTTATAGGTGCAGAGAGTTAAGAGTTGTCCCTATTTGTTCATTGCTATCCATGACCATGGTCTATGTTGCAACTCTATGTTTTTGTTGAAGTGTCGTGTCTGAAACTCATGTCCAATACATGAAAATAAGAATATGACCACCAAAGATCAGAGGTGAATCTAGGAGGGGGGTAGAAGGGGACATGGTCCCTTCTAAATTGGTAAAATTATGCACACAGTCCCTTTAAAAATTAGAAGTTAGTGGTAAAAAACATTTTGCCCCCCCTTAAAATGATAAAATTATGATTTAGTCCAAAAAATTGTAAAGTTAGAAGCCAATACAGTGGTAAAATCTGACCATACAGGTGTAGTTATATAATTGAAAAAAGTTACTTCCCATGTTTTTGCTTCTTACATGCTTTTGTCAATCTCATGTAACTTTCTCACTTGCCTTGTTCTTCTGAATAATTGTAGATGCCAAAAGGGGTTCATGGATTCTGGGTGGTGGATGAAACAATGATCTTTGGGGAGGGGAACTGCCAGTGGCATCTTGGATAGACGAGGTCACAGCTGATAATCTTGCAAGAAGCTGAAATTTGACTGAGAATATCTATTTATGTCGACATGAGGGTAATTTATATATAGAGCATGGTAATGATGTCTTATTTTGCAGGTTTGGCTGACAAGTATGGATGGTCATATGGGCTTGGCTAATTCGGTGGCGCCAAAGTTGGCTGGAGTCACTAATTTATCAAAAGATCCGAATGGTGGTACAATTATGAGAACAGCTAATGAAGGTATGTGTATTTAGTTGCTTCTGGTTTCAGGGTTGATATTGCTTGGTGGAACAAATACAACCGCTCCCCTCTTGATAGCTAAACAAAAATTGAAAATATAGTCTAAATCTATGTTGCTCTTACTCTTCAATTTTCTCTAAATAAATGTGTCCGTCGTATAGCAAGACACGGGTATAGGAATATGACCCTCTAAGGACACTCCAAGTACATGGAAAAATTTCAAGAAAAATTAAACATACCGGTGTCTGACATATACCCTTATTTGGCACTCATACCTGAATCCAAGGAACATAGGTTTAATGCCCATTTCTTATATCTTATTATCAAAAATAAGGTTTGGCTCTTTTCCTCAACAGATTTCGTTCTGCTTCTCCATGTATGAATGAAGTCTCTGCTGTCTGTTTTTCCTGACTGTCTATATTCTACATAAGCACTTTCTGTAATTTGTTTTCCTTACTTTTTTGCATTGTAGAATCTGAAACTTAGATACACACTGTTTTGAAGAGATGTACTGTTTTTGCAGGCATACTTTTAGTCAAATAAATCCTAGTATGTCGTACTATTTCAGGGAATTTTAGGCTTACAGGTGCCCCCATATGTGTTTGTAGTTTGATCGTGTATGCAATGTCAAGCTATGAATTCCTAGGTTCTTTTTTGATGTAACCTACGTTACTCCGACTTATTTTTTCTTGAAATATCTTTGTCTCTCTCATGTTTGATGCATATTAGACACGGATATGGTGATTGATCCTCCAAATAGGCTAAAAGACTTGGAGAAAAGAAAAAAAATGAACATACGTATAGCAGACACTCCCACTAAGTAACATGTGTAACTAAGCTAACAGGATACAAACTTGTTGCTTATATTAAATTTTGTTCATGACTATGCAGAACCTACTGGTCTGCTGATTGACGATGCAACGGAGCTTATTCTTTCCTGGATTCCGGAGGTCTCTGGTGATGAAAGGAGGGAAGCCATGCTTAGAGCTAGCAGTTTTGCCTTGATTAGGGGTGTCACTGCAGTTGTTGATTTTGGGAGATATTTTCCTGGAGCACCAGTTGAGCATTCGTGGCAGGACTTTTCAGGTTTCACTTAAAATAATTTTCTGGGTCAATGAAAATATCAGATAAATGAACCAATTAATTATAGATATCCTATGTTGCTCGGACTCTTCGTTCCGCTTGAAGTACTCTTATTTTACACCCATACCTAGCACTTATCCAGACATGGATATGTGAGATTAAAAAACCCTTCTGATATGTGGGAATCTTCGTTTGTACAGATGTGTATCAATGGGCTGATTCTTCAGGGAAGATGAAAATCAGAGTGTGCTTATTTTTTCCAATGCAGACCTGGTCGAGGTTATACGTATGACCTCTTGTCTGTTTCCCTCTTCAACATGTAACACATATATTTTACTTTGATTTCTAATTGCATTGAATGACTTCTACGTTACGTGTACGTATACATACTTTTTCTTGCCACCTCTTTGCCTTATTTTTGCCTTATTCTGTTTTACTTTATGCTCAGATTTTCTTCCTTCTCCTTTTCGGTTTATTTATAAGATTTCTTTCGTATCAGAGTGTAATTCATAGGGCAGGCCGTGCTTTGAGTAATTGGATTTACTTTGGTGGTGTTAAAGCTTTTGCTGATAGCTCTCTCGGTTCGAATAGTGCTCTCTTCCATGAGGTGAGAACTTGTGCGTGCGACCTTCGGTAAATTGCAGATGTATGGTCCGAAATTCATGCATTTGTCTAGCACGAAATGTCTTTGGTAGTGTTACAGGCATGGAAATACGTAACGATTTTATCTTGTTTCTTATATTGTAGCTATATTTCGATGACCCTCACAATTTTGGTTTACAAGTTGTAGAATCCGAAAGTCTTTTGAACATGACAATGGCTTCAGACATGTCGGGGCTTCAGGTTGCCAACGGTTAATAACACTCTTACTTTCTTGAGCGAGCCTCTTTTATCTGTTATAGAAACTTACTTCGTGTTTAATTTATTTCAGGTTGCTATCCATGCTATAGGTGATAGAGCAAATGACTTGATCCTTGATATGTATGAATCTGTTGTCTCCAAAAATGGAAAAAGAGATCGGAGATTTAGGGTAACGGTCAAAATTTCGGGAGTTCTTCCTCCACCATGCATGTCCATGCACACAATTTCAGCTTGACCGGGTTTTCTCCTTTTTGATTATGATTTCAGATTGAGCATGCCCTGCATTTGACCCCGGGCACAGCGGCTGCATTTGGCCCCGGGCACAGCGGCTGCATTTATTTCAGTACAGCTTGATTCTTTTTGAGCATGCACACTCTTACTTTCATGATTTGCTTCTATCTGCACTGGCTTTAAATTTCTATACCTGGAATTGGTGTTGGATATATATGGATATATGATTGTCACAAGTATGCTTGATTTTTTTCCTATATTTGAGGATCATACCTCCATATCCATGTCCGAAATGTACCGAACACTGACGCGGGTATCGGACATGGGTGCTTTTGAGAAAACGAAATCCCCCGGTCTTCGTTCCAATGCTTTTAGCAGATGCTTTTCCTGGTTTCATCATGACAGGCACACGATTTCAGCTGCTGGAGCATGCTTTCTCGAGAACGAAATGGGATCTCTATAGAACGGAAAATTCTCTGATTTCATCGTACTGTCAACCGATTCGTGGGACGACTTTGCTACCGAAGGATCTGCATCGGTTAATGCAACATATCTTGGTGGTGTCCAAGCCTATCCATGAAAGCTTTTGATCTTAAAATTGTCGGACTATATCCCAGAAGGTTCATGTTGTGGACTCTTGGAATAGAAGTCATGTTAGCTTTTCTGATAAAAAGTTTTGGGTAAATTATACGTTCATAGGGGATGAAATTACAATGTTCAAATATTTAAGGATTAATTTAAAATGAGAGTCATAGTTTGAGGATTTAATTGGAATGTTTAAAAGTTTAAGGACTAATTTGAAATGAGAGTCATAGTTTGGGGATATATGATGCAATTGGTTATTAAAATTTTAATAATCCAGTGCCTAAAATGAAAGGGTCTCTATAATTCAAGGACTAATGTGTAGTTTAACCTATATAAAAATATCTGTTGGATATTTTGCAGATTCTATAATTAATTAAGTACAAAAATAGATAAATAAATTTGATTATTAATCACTTTAGACACTCCTGGTTCTCGTCGCCATTAACGAAGCAACGATGAGTTCATCTTGTTCACTAACGATTCTCAATCCTTTTCCTCCTAAATCCTCCAAGATTCATTGAATCACGTCATTATCTCCGCCGTCTTACCTCCGTCTCGTCCGCTGTGGTCGATCCTTTCCGGGCTCTGCTGCTGCTTCCACCGATTTCGACTTCGCCTTGCAAGATGCCCTTGAATCTTCTGGAATCGATACCTCTCACGCTAGAGTACTCCTCCTCCTCCTCCTTTTCTACTGTAAAGAGGAAACTATTGTTTGCATTTCGGAATGTAGTTGGAGAAATGTTAGAATTAGTTTAATCTAATGGATTTTTGTCCGTTTTAATACTTAAACTTTTAATTTTTTAAAACTTACGTTAAATTTTGAATACGAGTACTAGAGTAAAACAAGAACTTTTAACAAAAACTTTTAACGTTCTGGTATTAAAATAAAATAAAAAACTAAGTTTATGTATAATTTTGAAAAAATTGAAAGTTTAGGTATTAAAATATACTCAAATTAATAGTTCAGGTACTCAACGAGTAATTTACCCAATATATATATATATATATATATATATATATATATATATACGACTATTAATGATTAATACATTTACAAAATACGAAATTTAAAAAAATGATCAAATTAAAATTTTAATTAATTGCATTATACTCCTCAATCTATTATCCTTATTTCAAATTGGTCTCTAAACTTTTAAACATTTCAATTTATCCTTAAAATATGACTATCATTTTAAATTAGTTCTTAAACTTTTGAACATTTCATTTTCATCCCTAAATTGTGATATTCATTCCAAATTAGTCCCCAACCTTTTTGAATATTTCAATTTTATCCTCAATTATATGTATATACTAATCACATCTCTTGTTAATAAAATCATTAAACCAAGTTATATTATTATATGATTGGGGGGGAAATTAGGTTAAACTATGGTTTAAATGGATTACATATTTGGATGAATTTGGGGATGAAATTGTAATATCTAAAAGTCTAGGGACCAATTTAGAATGAGATTCATATTTTGGGGATGAAATTGGAATGTTCAAAATTTTAAGGACTAATTTAAAATGAGAGTCATAGTTTGAGGACTTAATTGGAATTTTAAAAGTTTAAGGACTAATTTCAAATGATGGTCATAGTTTGGGGATACATGATGCAATTAGCTCTTAAAAGTTTTAATAATCCAGTGCCTAAAATGAAAGGGTCCCTATACTTCAACGACTAATGTGTAGTTTAACCTATATAAAAATATATGTTACATATTTTGCAGATTCTATAATTAATTAAGTACAAAAATAAATAAATAAATTTGATTATTTATCACTTTAGACACTCCTGGTTCTCGTCGCCATTAACGAAGCAACGATGAGTTCATCTTCTTCACTAACGATTCTCAATCCTTTTCCTCCTAAATCCTCCAAGATTCATTCAAACACGTCGTTATCTCCGCCGTCTTACCGCCGTCTCGTCCGCCGATTTCGACTTCGCCTTGCAAGATGCCCTTGAATCTTCTGGAATCGATACCTCTCACGCTAGAGTACTCCTCCTCCTCCTTTTCTACTGTAAAGAGGAAACTATTGTATGCATTTCGGAATGTAGTTGGATAAATGCTAGAATTAATTTAATCTAATGGATTTTGAGTAGTTTTCCATGGAAATTTCTTTTTAAAACTCAGTTGATTGCTTCTAATCAATGTTACATGAACTTTATTCATCCTCTATGTCATTGTTTTGGTTTTTTTATCATCTGCCAAGAGTTGATAAAGTTATGGCTGACTCTCAATTTGATTAGGAATGGAAACTCTCGATTTGAATGTTATAGTTTTAATTCTTGTGGAGGATAGAGGTTTTGATTTAGGTCTTTATGCCCCACTTAGTCACACATATACGAGAACGAACAACATGATAGGTTAAGCTCAATGATGTTTGAATGATATATCAAGTTTGATATAGTTAGTTGTTTAAAGTTTATATCTAAAATGTTTTCTTCTGAATGATCTTTGAGCAGGAGGCCACGAAGGGTTTCGTTTCACAAATTAAAGAATTATCCAATATGGAGAGGGAAACAAGTATTAGTATAAATAGAGGCGTTGATCTCTGGAAAACTGCTCTTTACATAGCAGCGGAGGATGATTCTCTCGTTTCGCATTCTTCCGTTCCTTTGCCGGTGGATGCTTTTCTTGAAAGATTGGACGATCTTTCCATGGGCTACTGCTTTCACTATAATTTGTCATGCAGGTCGTAATGGGAGAATATTTTTGGAGAGCATAGAGAAATATTTGTACGTCAGAAAGGTGTTTGTAAGATTTTTTATTTGCTCATAACTTAATGTCTTACCAAATGGTAAATGCCATTTTCAAGTCTATTGAGCATATAAAGTTGTTTATTTCTTAACTGTTCATGTGACCGTCTGTTTTTCTAACTGGTTAATCCAATAACTTCTTCGCAGGGCTTTTGGAGATCTATGACCAAGAACCAAGCAGAGCCACGAGCCCTCTATCTTCACTCTGTATGAAGGACAGCCTTTCTATCTTATCATTTTTTATTTACTTCTGAATGACATACCCTTTTATGGGGAATTTTTTCTGTTAGTTAATCTTTACGGTTTGAGAAGATTTTGATGCATCGTTCAGGTTCTGCTTTAATGCTATCGCTCATACACAGTGAGATCCTGAAAATGTTTCAAATGTGGGGCCTTTTGGATTTTGATGTAGAGATTTTCTTTCCTCGTGATCATGATGGTCTTCCGAGAGCCTATGATAAGCAAAAGAGCAAAGATCTGATCAGCCCCACATATTGACAGTACAAATGTTATTGGAAGAGGTGATTTTTATACTCTTGCCCTTTGATTTCTTACATTTTTATACATTAAATCTTATCTAAGTGAAGTTAAAGAAAAACTTACACTTGATGCTTACAATAACTTATGACCATTTCTCTGTTTTTCGTTCTTTTTGCTTTTTTTAATTTACTCTCATGCTGGGACAAGTGGAACATGAGTTGAAAACAAGAAACTGATCACCTAAAATGACTGCTAATTGTTTGATTAATTATAACCTCTCTTTGCTGTTCGTTTTCTCCTGTCTCATGAGAAGCTAATGATGATATTTTAGATTCCAACTACATTCAAGTGATGCCATAAAGGTTTTAAGTTTTGCCATGTTGCTTCGAGTTTTCATGTTCCATAAAATATCCGTGTCCAATACTTGTATCCAACACATTTGCATATGGATATGATGATATGTTTCCCCAAATATTGTTTTTATCTGTACTTTTGAAGTCTTTGGTTGTATTTTCACATTCGATTTCTTGTAGTGCCTATCAGCTTGCATCCGCAAAGGCTGCTCAACATAGGCTAGAGTGGGATGCTTGGACCAGAGTACGTTTTGGGGATATGAGACGTGCTTTGTCTGGTAATATACATTAAAGCATGATTGTCTAGAGGTGGGAAAAGTTAACCTGATTTTGATCCGAAGGAAATGAGAGATTACAGCATTCTCCTCTACCATTGTGGATTGTATGATCAATCTCTGAAATACCTCAAGTTGTACCAAGACGCAAAGGTAAGTTTCAGAGTGTGATGTAAATATCCGTCTTTGATTCGAACTTTTACAGACTATGATAGAGAAGTTTTATAAACTATTGCAGAGCTCTTCCCCGCAAAGACGGTCCACAAACTCAATTAGCATCCTGGAAGAGGAGGCTGTTCAGAAATTACTCGTGCGTCTGAATCTCATTTCAATGGAGAATGGTTGGTCCCAACGTCATGTCCGGAATTTTCTTGGCAACAGCTCCGAGCCATGGTAACGCATTAATACTTGCTTTTCCGTTTGTGTCCGAAAGTTTAACTTATATCTTGTACGAGTTGAATGAGGGACACTATGTTCACCAATCCAGAAAGGGGTGTGATAGATCTCTAAACCGATCCTATCACAAGGCTAAACTCAGGGATTTAAATAACGGCCGTAGTTATGTGACATTATCGACTTTCTCGGTCTTGGATAGTCACCGCAATTGACCACGATTTGTTACATCTATATGATGAATCTGGTATTACAGAATTAACATATGTATGCCATTGGAAAAAATTAGTTTGAGAGTATTGTATTGCCTTATTTGTTTTTTTAGCAAGAATATAAAATTACAATATTTGGTTAGAGGAATATAAAGATTACTTGAATGCATATTTTTCTTAATTATCTTTGTGATATATGTTATTTTATAAAAAAAGTTAAATTTTAATATTAAATTGTAAATATTTGAATGAAAATTTATAGAAATATTTTAATCATTACATTATTTGAGAAAAAAAAACCTATAATATATAATTAGTATATTAAACTTATATTTTTAAATAATTTTTATAAATATCATATTTATTTATGTAAAATATAAAATAATATGAAAATGAATAAATTTTCAATTTATAAGATCTACTTTTTAGTAACTTAAAGTAAGATATTATTTTTAAATAATTACATTTTTACAATAATATTATTTTTCTTCTCATAAAATTAAAAATGATTAATATATTGAATAATAAAATTATAAAATAATTCTAAATAATCAAATTTATTAATATTTTACTAATTAAACTCTTAGTATATTATTATTATGTTTATAATTTTTCGTAAATTACAAAAAATAAGAATCGAGTATGATCACTATAAAAAGAATTTATTATAGGGGTGTTATTGTCCAAAGTTGTTGGAATTGTCTAATATCTAAGAATTTTGAGGTAATGACATTCCCACCATTTTAAATAATTTTTTTTTATTGAATCATTAGTTAACACACGATTAACGCTCCAAAATATAAGTTTTTTTTAACCTAAAATGGTCATTTTGATCATATTTTTTTCATTTTGACCCTCAACATTTCTCTTTGGGACAAAAATAAATGAAAATCATTAGTTAACACATGATTAACGGTCCAAAATATGAGATTTTTTAACCTAAAATTAAATGATGAGGTCGAAAATGCCTCGAAAAAAAGAATAAGTAACAAAGTGATTATTCTATCAAATGTTAGGAGCCTTTTTATTCTAAAATGAAACGTTGAGAGCAAAAAAGGCTAAAAAATGACCATTTTGATAAATGTTGGGGGCTAATTTTGATACTAATAAAAAAGGCTAATTTTATTTATTTATTTAAACATGCATTGTATTTTATCTTTATTTTTTTATTATTTTTTTATTTTTTATTTTTTTTTTACTGCCGGAGGTCTTCCACGGAAGCTGCTCTCAACTTGGCGTTGGGGGACAGCCTACTACCCTACCTCCCCCTTACCCCATTGCATATGAGAATAGAGTTTTGTTGTTGTTGTGATTTGTACCTATAATACATGAGATTTGAGGATAAAATCCCACATTCTTTTGTCTATTTGTTGTTTGTTTGTGTTTGCTTATCATTTTAGCGAACGGACACGAACAAGCTACATTTTTTAACAAATGAACACGAACAATAAATTTTGTTCATTTAGTACTTTGTGCTCGTCGATTAAAGTTAAAGGAATGAACATGAATATATACCCGTTCGTGTTTGTTTACAGACCTACTTAGTTTTCTCATCGGTTAATCTTTAAAATATTTATAATAATTATTCATATATAAAAAATATATTTTATAAATTTTAAAAATAATAAAAGGGAGTTCACCCCTTCAAAAATCTTAGCAAAAGCAAAAGTAAGAATAAAGTGATTAATTACTTTACCCTTACATTTTAGGAAAGCACAATACTTCAATAAAGAAATTATTTTTTAATAATTTATCATATCAAGATTTTAATTTTGCATATATACCTTATTTCCAGGAATTTTGGTAAGATAGCTTCCTCTTAATCTTGTCATTTTTCACTTAAATATTATAACCTTGTAATTTATTTTCTAAAATCATATAATTGTGATTATATTTATTACTATTTTTTGTTAATTACTCATCAAGATATTCGTAATTATAATTTATATGTATAAAATTATGGAGAAGCCATTGAATTTTTTTAAAAGTGTTATGAATTCTAGCAAAAGGTTTTAGGGTTGTTCTTGCAAATAAGCAAAGCACAATGCTTTAACCAAAGAGAAGAGTGAATCTTTAGGATACTTTAGCTTTCAATTCAAGTCACTCTTGTTTGTACCTTACTTGCCAAGATTAATGTTAAAATACTTTTTTTTAAAGAAATTCCTATTTATTGTTTGAAGAACTAGTCATCATTCACTGCCATCTCATTCATTACTCGGCGAACACAAATGGAGATGGAGAAGAAGAGAGAGATTAAGCATCTTTTTCACGAGCATCCCTTGGTGTTTGTGGAAGATCAAAGCAATGAAGGTGAGAAAGCTTACTGCTCAGCTGTGGGGATGTGATTTCAGATCCATGCTTTAGTTGTGCACCCTGCAATTATCACCTTCATCACAACTGTGCCCTCGCACCCCAGACAATTTCCAGTCACCCTCTCCATCCCCAGCACAGATATGGTCTTTTTCTTCGAGAAAGGCCACATCCTGGTAATCGGGTATATGACTTGATCCTTGATATGTATGAATCTGTTGTCTCCAAAAATGGAAAAAGAGATCGGAGATTCAGGGTAACGGTCAAAATTTCGGGAGTTCTTCCTCCACCATGCATTCCTATGCTTCTCTTCGGATTTTGCATCGGCTTTTCATCGAAGCACGTTTACTTTATCATGATTTGCTTCTATCTGCACTGGCTTTAAATTTCTATACCTGGAATTGGTGTTGGATATATATGGATATATGATTGTCACAAGTATGCTTGATTTTGAGGATCATGCCTCCATATCCATGTCCGAAATGTACCAAACACCGACGCGGGTATCGGACATGGGTGCTTTTGAGAAAACGAAGTCCCCCGGTCTTCATTCCAAATTTCCAATGCTTTTAGCTGATGCTTTTCCTGGTTTCATCATAACAGGCACACGATTTCAGCTGTAACGAAGTGGGATCTCTATCGACTGGAAAATTCGCTGATTTCGTCGTACTGTCAACCGATTCGTGGGACGACTTTGCTACCGAAGTATCTGCATCGGTTAATGCAACATATGTTGGTGGTGTCCAAGCCTATCCATGAAAGCTTTTGATCTTAAAACTGTCGGACTATTTCCCGGACGGTTTATGTTGTGGACTCTTGGAATAGAAGTCATGTTTGCTTTTCTGATAAAAAGTTTTGGGTAAGTTGTACGTTTAACACCTAAATTATCAGTTTTGACATGTCTTAAGGCATAAACTTTC